AGATTCACAATTTATAAGCTTAACCAGAAAGTGACCCTTCTTTTAAATACCAAACTTGCTTATATCTAAAGTGCAAAATACCAAACCAAGAGGCCCATATGATATATTCCAAAATCTTAAAATGTAGAATGATCTCATTGTTAACGTGGAATTGAGGGTAATGAAACTAGCTAGTTAGCTCAATGGGAAAAGCCTAGAGATGGACGGGTAAAATGCAATTATGACGCTTACCAAATTGAAGGATTTTTCGGGATTCTAGAGGTCAGGTTATGCGGTGCCGGATGGAAAAGACAAATTAAAGCCGACTGGATGCAGGAGAAGCCGAATGCATGTGCTGCTTTGATTTGATTTTGGGCAATGGATTCGTGTTGGTAATTTGGATATCGAAAAGTTATCTTTTAAAATGATTGTCATATCCTCTCTCCTAAGAAGGAAAACAGAGAACTTAATTAAAGCTTCAAACATAGAGAGGGAACAAGCACTAAAAAAAAAAAGGTGTGTAGCATCATTTATTTTGTTTGTTTAGATCAATTATAAATGATGTAAATATATTTTGCATCATTTATGTAAGCGACTCTAAAAATGGTGATACAAATATTAACATCAATTAAAAAGACCGATACAAATATTTTCATCATTTATATTAATTGATGTTAATTTGCATCGATTTAAAAAATTGATGCTAATATTTACATCGGTTTAATAATTGATGCCAAATATTGTTTTATCAATTAAATAAAAATCAATTTCGAAAATGTTATAATTGGATTATAATGTAAAACTAATCGTAAATGATTTTTTTACTTAAGGCAATATTTATTTACCTTTAAATAAGCTATCAAAATTCAAAGTCAATGTTGAACTTTGACAACAATATATAATTGAGGGAGTTTAGTTATATATAAGACTATAATCTTCTTACCCCCACCTTTAATTATCGATGTGGAACTTACAAAAGTAAACAAATGATTTATTAAAAATGTGTTAGCATCATTTTTTTAGTGATACAAATTTTACAATCATTTTTTTTAAATGATGCTAACCAAATTTGGTAATTACGTTGGTTAAATAAGGAATGTAAATCAATATTTATATGTCAATTTTTTTAAAGTGATACAAATTAATATGGATTTGCATCAATATTATTAAACCGATGTTAAACACGTCAAAAATAATATCAGTCACATGTTTTGTATCATTTATTTAATAAATGGTTTAATATTATATCATCTAGGTTGATACTTTTTAAATGATGTAAAACACCTCTTTTTTTTGTAGTGAATCGAAGGTTGCTTAGTCGTCAAAGTTTTGTTAGCTAAATATACAAATAAACTTGTATGTAATCTAATGTTGCTCCTTGGTTTGAAAGGAATAACAAACAAAATTAATTAAAGACAAATGCTGACTTCTGACCAACAAAAGCATGTAATTGCTTAACATGTCATCCCTCTTAATTATATCAATTTGTTGGCTTACCATTTCTTACGTTCTTATGTCATCAATTTTTTTTGGGGAAACTCGTCCTTATGTTATCTTGTTGATATTATTAGTATATAAATTCCTAGCATTCTTTCTGACCAACATTTGGTAGAAATTAAATAACCAAATTATTTGTTGTTAGATAACACTTTTTTTTGTTTTTTTAGAGTTTATATTTTGTTAACAAGTTGTTGTTTATAAATTAGAGAAATTGGGACCCGTAGCAAAAGAAAATTCTATATTCTATGATATAATTATATAATTTTGTGATGGAGTCTTATATTCTTGTTATAGAATTCTATGTTTTTTTGTGATGGAATTCTATTTTTTGGTAATAATTTTCTATGCGTTGGCCAAAAAAAAGGTAATAATTTTCTATATTTTTATGATAAAATTCTAAATTTCTATGATAGAATTCTATGTTTTCTGATGATATTCTATTTTTTGTGATAGAATTCTATGTTTTTGTGATGAAATTTTTATTTTATGGTGTGATAGAATTCTGTGTTTTTGTAATGGAGTTTTATGTTTTTGTTATAGAATTTTATCTCTTGGTAATAAATTTTTTATCTCTTGGTGATAAAATTAGATGCTTTTGTTATGTAATTCTATGTTTTGTGACAGAATTCTATCTTATGGTGATAAAATTCTATAAATCTATGATATAATTATATGATTCGATGATGGAGTTTTATATTTTTGTTTAGAATTCTATGTTTTTTTTGTGTGATGGAATTCTATTTTTTGGTAACAATATTCTATATTTTTATGACAAAATGATATATTTATATGATAGAATTCTATGTTTTTGTGATACAATTATATTTTATGGTGATACAATTCTATGTTTTTGTTATAGAATTCTATCTCATGGTGATAAAATTATATGTTTTTTATGGAATTCTATGTTTTGTGATAGAATTCTATCTTAGTGATAAAATTTTATATTTTTATGATATAATTATCTGATTTTTTTTTGACAAATAATTATATGATTTTTTGATGGAGTTTTATATTCTTGTTATAGAATTTTATGGTCTTCTGTGATGGAATTCTATTTTTTGGTAATAATATTCTATTTTTTATGATAAAATTATATATTTTTATGGTAGAATTTTATTTTTTGGTGATATAATTTTATGTTTTGTGATGAGATTTTATTTTTTGTGATAAAATTCTATGTATTTGTGATGAAATTCTACAGGAATTGCTAGTAGAGTAATTGATGCCATGTTCTAAGAAGAGAACAAATGAATGGTTTTTTTTTTGTTGTTGTTAAAGAATGTTAAGAGAAGTTTTGCTTAAGAGTTCTTGATTTTGGATGGTGTGTGCTCCTCCTCTAAAGGGAAAACAACCAAGTACTGTGTTGTCTCCATTACTCTATTGCTATTTTCATTGATATAAAAGAATGTAATAATGATAAATGCCCAAAGTTTTAATTAATTTTGGGAATTTGATATGGTAAGGCTAAAAGGAAGAGCAACGACCCACACCTCATATTAATACAAGTCCACAACTTGTGTTTTTTTTTTTTAATTTGTTAACTACTTTTGTTCATGTTAATACAAGTCCTAAGAAAAAATGATGTTGTTCACGTTGATATTTTCCATATAATCTTTTGCATGTAATACAGTATTTTATGTTATGTTATACTAGTAAGAATGTTTAATTATATTTTATACAAGAATGAGTTTATGTTTCCAAGAAAATTGAAATATCAATTTGTGACAGTAAAAGAACGTACGTATTAAAGAAAAAATAAAAATAGGAGATGAAGTCCTCCCAGAAAAAAAGAAGATGCAAATAAAGTTTGGTTTTGTGTACACAGCAGATAACTTTCTTAAANGAAAAAAAAAAAAAAAATTTGGTAACATGCATTAATAAGAGTCATGCATATAATTATACTAACTAAGACTATTTGGGACACCTAAGCAAAATTAAAACTCTCTAAAATCAAGCCACGTCATCACGTAGAGAGCTAAACATGTTTGTTTTATACCTCTTAAATGGGCATATAATGAGCCAAGTAAATCAAATAAAGAGGCACAACTAACACCATATTAATGGTAAAGCCCACACCTACTAACAATGAAGCACCTTTTCTTTGTTCATCAATAACCTACATTCTTTCGAAAATAACGGTTGAGTTGCAGACGTTGTGGTTCTTTTATGATTTAATCTTATTTAAAATTAAACTCTGCTAAGCAACCCTCTTTGTTTTTTCTGTGGTGTTACATTTTCTTTATGTTCCTTTCGTCTTCCAAAATCCAAATCCATTGTCCACCATTCAACGAATTAAACTCGAGCCGCTTCACATTCGTTCTATGACTATAATTGTTCTTCGCACCACAACTTCCCCATTTCGCCACCACCCCAACGCCTTCTCTAAGCGGAGTACCTATACAGGATAGTATTTTTTCCAGTTTTAAGTTTCGTTTTCATGCAGAGAGACAAAGGAACATAGACTGAGTTTTGTCGGGTAGATTTCTATGTTCTCCTCACTTCCGATTTGATTAATCTATTTCTCTATTAGTATTCAAAACTCATGATTTTTAAACCTTGCGTATGTCATTAGGTTTCGTAGTTCTTGGTTCAATGATTTTCAAGCGCATGTATGTCTCTTTTCATTGGGATACAAATTTGGCTTCGTAATGATCTCACATAAAATTTTGTGGAACGTGATGGCAGAGTGTCACCAAATACAGAGACGAAGACTCGATGAAGCAAAGCTATTACTAGCAACCATGCCTTCTAAACGTCCCAAGAAAGACAACATACTTTACTACCAGAGATCAACTTTCAAAATACTCTCAAAATATACCTCCAATTGGTCTATGTCTCTTTCAAGATCACATCTGGAAAATGTTTCAGTTTATTCTTATAGTAATGAATATTGAGTTTTTGGTATGCATGATTGAAACAGAGAACGTTAAGTAAGAAGAGGTATGTATACAACTGTATTGAGATTACTACATAGATAGAGAAATCTTTTTCTTTTATTGATGAGTATGTATATCTTTAATATATATTGTTGAGTTTCATTAATAACACTCGAGGAATGAATCTATTCACGTGTAGATGGGTTACCAGCAAATCAAGAGCCAAACGCTTGTAGTCTTCATTTTTCATGGAATAAACTCATCTTCATTTTCTACATACAAGTCCATGACATCAAGGTTTGTCCGTTTGCCAATTGGTTTGTATTTTTCTTGTGTCTTTTTCCATATGCCAAGTACTTGCAAGTCTTTCAAAGTAAATACTCTAACTATGATGAGTGTAATTCAAACAATATTTGGTGTTGTAAACTTTCTTAAGCTTCTTATCGGTGGACAAGATGACATGATGAGGAGATTGCTTTTATTATAATAGAAAAGAATTGAAGATGGTACATTTTCTCACAGTTGCACTAAATTCAATCTCATTCCATACATGCATGTCTTTACAGTATGAAGCAAAAGGCCAACCATTGCAGGATTTATGTTTGGTGTAAAATCTCTAGATTTTGATCGATAAGATGGTGGTCTTATTAAGTTGTGGCACAAGCCATATGCCTAATTATTTTATAAATGAGGTATATATACTTTCATAAGGTGGATATGATGATCATCGGATTCAAGTGATGAAATAGCAAAGAGAAAAACACTATAGGGATAGATCATGAGGAATTGTTGTTGTCATAGAGATGGTTTTGCTTTACAAAGTCCATCCAAACTGTGTCGAACAGTTTCGTATATGATGAAACAGAACTACTAATTCGTGTCTATGAACTCGGGTTGAATTGGAGAGAAGTTTGGAATTCGATGGTGGGTGTCATCATAATTCATCTAGGATGGAGTAGGGAAGACGCAAATCATCGGGGAAGAAATCCAAAAGAGCAAGGAATTAAGAGTTTCAACATAAGTAGAGTATGAGGAGAAACGGTGTGAAGGTTGTGAAGAGAGAAACTCAAAGATATCAGAAATAAATGGTGAGCAATTCGAGAAACAAGCCCGAGAAAGAAAGAACCCAGGATAATGAAAAGCAAACAAACATTCTAAGAAGAAAGGAAGAAGTCGTTAAGAAAGGATAAGATAAAAGTTCGTTCTGCCTCCAACTGAAGAAGAAAAACAAAGGACGTAGTTCTTGGGAGAGCAGTAGAGAGGAGTCTGAAATATATGACTAAAGCTCATTAGGGATTGGCTGGTGGAAAAAAAAAATTAAGCTAACTTCAAATAAATGAATGAAAATTTATAAATATGGTTGATGGAAGCAATATAAAGATTAACTGTTTGCACATAAGTGACAACCTATATGATGTTTTCTTTTGTTTTTTAAACGTGTTTTCAAGATATATTAAGTCTTCTTACTAACTACTAAACATAAAAATTTAACTTATATTCAAATTTGACGGCTAAACATTTACTCGAGCGTTGATTTTAGTAAGTGCTAATAATGTATGTACATATTTAACATGTTGTTTGAAATTTATATAAGCATAAGAGAGATCTCGATTTCAGCGCGGATGGTGTATGTTTGTTCAAATTCGATGATCTTATAAGAGATTACCACCCTATAAAAAAAACTATATGTGACCTCTTATGCAAAATAAACACTACAAGACCAATATCCAAATATAATTACCACCCTATAAAAAAACTATATGTGACTCTTATGCAAAATAAACACTACAAGACCAATATCCAAATAGAAGGAAAACAAATTTAAACAGGACAATCATGAGCTTGATTTGATGATCCTATTTTTTATTAGTTGCTTTATTATCTATTTAAAAAAAAAATCTGAGAAAAGATAGATATGGAAACTGTTTTGTCATAAACACAACTCTTATAACTAATGTAAGAGTTTTTGCAAAAACTATGTATTCTCACATGGGAAAAGCAAAGTATGCTTTTCTTTATTTCACGTTTGGATTATAAAACAACTTTTTGGCTGATCTTGCATTAAATTTAATTGTAATTGTTTATTGTTCAATAATCTTCGCATGTTTTTTACTCTATTAAACATTCAGTGTAACGAACAAAAAACACTTTTTGATTGTAAAAGCTTTATCGTTGGTTAAATGAGATGTGACTGGCCCTATGTTAAAGCAATTATGAGCCAAGTCTGGTCTAACTTATTAAGTAGGAGCCACTAAGTTTTGTAATTTACTTTGTCATTCCTCATTGTCTAAGTTGTATGATATAAAACAGAGATATCAAGTCGTACAAAAATGAATATTAAAACCAATTTTTTGGTGGCTCACCGTTGGAGAAGGGCGAAGCGATGACATTAAGGACGAGAGAGGTGGAATATGAATAAACGTTGTGATAATGCTACAAAATGACACAAAAGTTTGATGCATATTTAAAGTGGTTCATCGATAGTTTAGAGAGTCTTTTGCTTTCAACATTTATAATTTTTTCATTTTTGTTAATCAATTACCAGTTAATTTTTTACTTAAACTATTAATAAATTAGAGATTTATCAAGAAGAAAAGAATATACATAAAAATATACAAAAAATGTATGAAATTTATTTTAAAATAATTAGTGATGATTTAGTTAAAGAATAATATATAGTATATATATGTCACCAAAAATTAAATTGTTCTAAATTTTAGACAAGTCAAATTTAAAAATGTACAAGATCACTTTGTATATCAATTATATATTTCTGTATATTGAATACAAATATAATTATTTTTAATACATAAAATCACAAAACTACTATAATACTATTATTGAGAATTTAAAATAGCAAATAAATATATGATTAACAACCCCGGACGTAGTCCGGATATCCCCCAGTAATGTGTAAAAGCTTCAAACAGTCCCACAAGTCTGTACCTTTTCGTCCCTTTTCCTCTAAACCTCATCTTCCCCATTTATTTCTCCCATTCTTTCTCCTTTTTCTTTCTCAAAATAAATATTAATACTTCGAAATCCCGAAGCAATATATTT